GGATGTTGATTGAGGGTACACCGAGCGAATATTTAGGATCAGTTTTCCTGTAATAAACAAATCATTTTGGTTTTTTTGACTATAAATCATTTATATAAAGGTGTGTACATTTGGCCTGATTAGCTCAGTTATGATAAACTGGTTAATATCTCTTCTTTCTCTTGTTGGTTTTATTTATCTAAATGCCCTTCACTGTAATCAGAGGTCATGACTTAATTTCTGTCATTTTGCTTTGCGAAACTTTAATTGTCTCTATGTCTATATGTCATGATAAAATCACACTTTTTAATGAGTATGTAGGTGAATGTATCATCACTTCTACGATACTACCTGCCGAGAACGCCGTACATCCCAGCAAGCCTCTGATTTCCTCATCTGCCTGCCCTGAGCCTGGCGTTGTCGTCTTTCAACCGACAGACTCCACCAGCCCCATATCCGTCGTCAGCCGGCGGCCTGTCGGCGGCCTCGGAATCAACACGACGGAGCTGGTAACGCCGCTGCCTAGTCGTTGTGCCGAGACAACTTCCTGCCAGCGACATTGCCAAATGACATTCGAGTGCCATCGACCAGGTTCCAGTCGTTGGCCGGCCGATCCTTTGGCATCTGCACGACTCCCCTCCACCCCCTCGACACCCTCTGATTCATCATCGCCATCCTCTGGCCCAGCGACTGGCATCAAGGGCATATGTCAAGTCAAAAGAAATGTGGGTTGGAGCACCGTTCTGCCAGAGTCGAGTGCCCACAGGCCATCTATCAGACAGCTCTTCAGTGGACAGTCGCTATATCCTCCTACTCGAAGTGAGTATAATATTTAAATAGAAAATTGCCATTCTATTTTTCGTTGATAGACAAGGGTTACCGTTATCTTGCTTTGGTCTGATTTGAATGGCTGGATCATATTTTTCCTCGGTTTAGTGTGGAAGTGGGTGAGTAAGAGATTCACAATTCGCTACCGCCAAATGATGACTGTATTCTCTTTGATCTTCCTTTGTTTCTCTCTAATTTGACACCCTTTAGTTCCATTTCTTTATTTAGCATTTTCACACGAAATGAAAGCAGCTCTCCATTAATATGCCAGTAGCTTATTTACAAACCAGCCTCTCTACATGTAAACCCTACTTTTTGTGCATTGAGCATTGATTTTTGCTTCTTTACCAATATATTGTATGATTAGACTTAACGATGCTCAAAAATCCTTTTCTTGATTGGACACGCCGCCTTTACGACAGCGTGGTACAGACAGGACTCCGCTAAAAGACTGAGTTTCCCAGACATGCTATGGAGTGTTCGCTTTTATCTATCTCCTTGCCTGA